AGCATTGGGCGACAAGCTCAATGAAGCCTTTGGTTGCTGGTCCTTCCGCGTGAGGTACAAACGCAAAGCGGAGAGGAGTCCATGTGGTCATTCAGTAGGGTGCGCCTACTTGCTTGCCCTTCGGCACGCAGCCTGCCTGTTGTTGGTAGGCGTTATGTGCATTCCTCCGGTGCTGATGCAACGAGAGCAGGAGTCTATATAGCTAGAGCATTGTCATGGGGCAGTGCATGAAAAGTGGAACTGAATTGCCGAGCAGCGTATGCACAACTATCGAAGCAGCAATACCCAAGCCGGTCAGGGCCACTTCACCAGGGTTGAAAAGAACAGTTGACCCACACTTTGCCAGCTGCCGGTTTGCATGGAATCTCCGCGCTGATCACCTGTTAGTTCCTGTGCTCGCTGCTAAGTTGCTCAGACAGGACCGCAAGCGGTTCCAGGTGAAAGCTACAATGTCACTCGAGTGTCAACTCCAAACTCGACTAGCCTCGTCCTGCCACCAGCAGCGCAGGCAAGCGCATCAACTGCCGAAGCGGGTACATTTGGCTTCGCTGGGAAAATAGGCGTCAACAGGTTCCAAGGCTGTCACCTTGAGACTGAGGAACGTAACTACAGCAACACAATCGCGTCATGCAAGGCTGCACCTTTTTCTTCACCCTTCTCAGTCCCCTCGAAGCNAACTACAGCAACACAATCGCGTCATGCAAGGCTGCACCTTTTTCTTCACCCTTCTCAGTCCCCTCGAAGCTCCCGAGAGGAGAGCTTGGGACGTGTAGTATTCAACACTTACAGGCACCAGATGTGCATGTGGAAAGCGTACGATATACTCAAAGAGAATTCCACCTCCAGATGATTAAGAATGAATGCGAAGATGGCTACGTGGCAGCTAAGGAGAGAAAAGTGTCTCTCGTCTCACACGCCACACTAAATACGGTATTGCGCCCTGAAGCAGCTCTGACTGAGTCCTAATGCAAACTAATAGTGCACCTAACTGCCTTGACCTTAAGCAATTTCCACTCGTCGTAAAGTATATGTGTAAGTATTAGCACTCTGATTCAAGTTACTAGCTGGGTGGAGCATTGCTGAACCCACTAAGCACCATGTAGATTTCGCCATTTGCCTACGCCCTCCAATAGTAGACGACTGATTAAATTACGAGTTGGAAATCTCCCTCCAAACCGCTAGTTCAAACTTGGCAGTTCACACACTTTTTAAAGACTGTGTGTCATATGCCGACGTGTGAAAACAAAACTGTTGGTTACTTCAGATTCCCTCCTCCTGATCTTCATCGAAACGTCCCCAGTTCGGAGGCTGTCGTTGCTGAACGGAAGGTGGTTAGCTCATCGCACGGCTGCTGTAAATAGTTACTTCCCTTCCCTTCATTGCCAGCAACAGCTCCTGCTCCCTCCATAGATCCGCTCGACTTCATCTCCCCCTTTTCGTCCCCTTGTGTATCTGCTGCTGCTCCTCCTGACGAGTCTGCTCCGTTCTGGCCACGAATTAGATCGGCGCTCTGCGTCTGACGGTCAGCATGCTTCTGAGCAATCTTGCCACCTGTTGCTCGCTGCTGACGCGTTGCACCTCTCTTTGTAACATCCCCCTCCAGCTCGGCTCTGCGTCGTTTCGCTAGTTCCCTTAGCAGGCTGAAATGCTCCTCCCTCGTGCCTCTACGAAGAAAGCAACGCACAAGTTCATTTGACCCCGGCGGGGCGTTGGCGATGGATCCATTAAGAAAAATTGACCTCTTTACCAAATCAACCCCGTCTTCCTCCACGACTCCTAAGGCCTGATACACCTCTCTCCTCACTGAATCGCTCATCCGTATCTCAGTTCCCCGCAAATCCAACACGTAGTTCTTAGCCAGGAGCACCTCCTGCAACTCCTCCTTTGATCTGATATTGGGCACAGTGAACTCCCCGGCCACCTCCAGGAGCATTGAGCCGTCCCTTACCAAGGCGAGGCCCCGGGAACCCTGTGTGTCCATAATGTTCCAGTTGCCCTTCGCCTAATCGGTCCCGCTTCGCTATACCGAATTCCCGGCGCGGTCGGTGAATCAACGGGGGAAGTGGAGTAATGAGATCCAGAATTAAGGCATGCTGCAGTTCGCAGGTCCCAGCAAAGGGCAGGCTGCTTGCAGAGCAAAAGCGATACCGGCAAGAAGAAAGGGAAGCTGGAGAACGGGGAATAAGAAAGCGTTCCGCACAAAAGGGGAGGCAGGCGAGAAAAACCGAAGAGTTTCGAGTAAAATAGATTAAAAGTCTGGATATGTTAAAGCAGAGAAAAAAGACCTTCCTGTTGCAACAGAAGCAATCAGGTTGGAGAGCGCTAGCGATTCGCCCGTACTAGTATTTTGTCTAGTCATTTACACACCTGTTGAGCAGATTTTTTCGTGCTTAAACTCGCCTATTATGCCTCTCACATTAAATGATTCTCTAAAGGAGTTTTATGGCCTATGCATCTCCTTGAATCATGTGTGTCTGCCTCTATACCTCGATTTGCTGGTCTGTCGGAGGACCGTTGGCACTCTGCCATCTTCCTCGTACTGAAGGATGCACCATCATGGAAGTGTGCGCATAATCTTGTTCTACGCATTTCATGTCGAGTTTAATAATAAAAAGTGTAAAGTAACATTCTCTGGTGTGGAAAA